CTTGTCCAACTGATTAGATTGATTATAATACACATTAATAATCCTCATTTGCTTTAATAAATTTGTTGTACACATTTGCAGTTTTCTTATTGAAACCACTATACTAATATTTCTGTATGTAAAGCTTGTCTTATTTTAAAAATAAGCACAAACGATATCTCTGTCTGGTAAAATCTGATAAATTCTGTCTGGAACATTTTATGCATCCTTATTTTTTTTTAAAGATAAAATCGTAAATCAACAGAACGGTTTCCTTTTATATTGGTAATTAATATGCAGCTCTTGTTCTCATATATTAAATCTAGATATTTCTAATTCTTCCTAATAACGGCGTAAGGAAATATAAAGCAATATTCGTTCTTACATTGATATTTTGTGGTTATCCTTGATTTGAGGTGTAAATATAGTCCAGTTTTTATAGTTTCTATAAATACAGAATAACCAGTTTGAGTCCTAAAAGAGAATGCCGGAACTGGCGATACAACACATTCTGATGCTTCGCCTTTTATTAACGTTCTTCAATTTCTAATCTGATTTCTCGTTTAATCACTTCCATTTCTCTGTTACAATACCATTGCTATAGTACCATTGTTCGAAATATTTTTCATGTCACTATTTAATAAAACTAAAATAAAACATTATGTATCAACTTTATTTTAATAAAATCTAATTTTATATAAATAATAAAGAGAAATTTTTTGTGTTCAACTAAATTCAATATAATTCAAGGAAAAATCTCTCTCTCTCTCTCTCTCTCTCTCTCTCTCTCTCTCTCTCTCCTAAATTAATTAGGAAATGTGCTTAAAAATAAAAATTCTGTAACAAAGTTTAACATGAAAAAAAAATTATCTGACATGAGTGCGGCTATTATCAATTGGTATTTTCAAGTCAGTTATCATGGATAAGTTGTCCAACCGACCTGTATGGATATAACATAATAGAAACTTGATGAAATATCGTTAAAAGTGTATGAAACGTTTATTACAGAAGCGAGAAATAGCATATTAGAAGTATATTGATCTTCTTGCATCGATCTCTTTTGTTTACAGAAAACTGTCTTGAACAGCATCTCGGAGGAATTTGAAGACTTCCATGGTAATGCTTATGTCAGCCTGGCCATAATCTATGCCGTATTTGCGACCTGCAACTGGTTAACACCGTCCTACATTTCCGTGACAGGGCCACGAATAGCGATACTTACAGGTGCCTGTTGTTATGTCCTGTTCATCGCCTCGTTCTTCTGGCCACACGATGCCTTGTTGTATACCATGTCCGCTATCGTCGGGATTGGCGCCGCTCTGATGTGGACCGGCCATGGACAATACCTGACGGAAAACAGTGATAACGAAACAATGTCACGGAACGCCGGTATATTTTGGGCGATTTTTCAGACATCGCAGTTCGCCGGCAATCTGTTCGTCTTCTTCATCTTCACAAAGTCCAAAATTGACAAGGAGCAACGGACAATCGTATTCAGCGTGCTAACTGGCCTCGCGGTAGTCGGTACTGGGGTATTACTCGTACTGAGAAAATCGCCACCGAAGTTATTGCTGGGTGAGGCTGAGGGGGTATCTAACGCCGACAAAGAATTACGCCTGCCGGAACCAAGACGTGAGAAACCACTGCTGGCTGCATGGAACGCCTTCGTGGATGCAATTAGGCTCTTCCTCACGTCGAACATGCTGCTACTATCATTGACGTTTATTTATACAGGTCTCGAGCTTACCTTCTATTCCGGTGTGTATTCTAGCAGCATTGGCTTTGTGAAGGCATTGGGTGAGGATCGCAAGAAATTGGTAGGACTATCTGGTATCTTTATTGGTGTCGGCGAAGTCGTGGGCGGCGCGGTCTTCGGCATTCTCGCGTCCAAGATATCCCGCAAGTGCGGTGGCTGGCCGGTGATACTCACTGGTCTGACCGTGCATCTATTTGCCTTCATCAGCATCTTTCTGAATCTACCAAACGATGCGTCGTTCCAGGACACAGATAACGTGGGTTACATTGAGACATCAAAACCCCTCGCATTGGCAGGCAGTCTTGCCCTCGGTTTCGGCGACGCTTGCTACAACACACAGGTCTACTCCCTGTTGGGCGTCCTGTTCGCTAACGAGAGCGCATCGGCCTTCGCTCTCTTCAAATTCTGTCAATCTGTTGCAGCAGCCATTAGCTTCTCATACAGCACTGAGGTGGGATTGTACGTACAACTCGCGGTATTACTCGTGGCTATATTCATCGGTACGGGGGCCTTCTGCTACGTCGAATACAAAGTAAAAAAATCGAAGAATGAATCCCCACAGGAAATTGATCCAGCGTTGGTCGACGCCACAAGCGGTGAAGATTGATAAGGCTAGTTAAATGCAAATTCTTTAGGTTGTAAAGATACATAGCGAGTTCGAATGCGAATGAAGTGTGCGAAAGCTTTCGAGGAATAACATCGTGGAACAGAAGAAAAATGTTGCTTGCGTTAAAAGCAACTCACGGTAGCTCGAACGAGCGTTAA